TATTTGGTAGTCGGAGCTGATTTGTGTCGAGGTTAGTCGGGAAAGGGGGGGGGGAGGAACATCGGATATTTACATTACGAGGATAGCGTAGAGCGCTAGGTTTTGCCGCATGCCTTCTAGACCGCCGCGTAGTCTGAGCATCTGCTGTAGACCTTGCATATGAGCTATTTGGCTGTTTTTGTCCCCATAATACCACTATGATTGTTAGCCGTATATGATCATTAGAGGACCCGACGTGCAGGGAGGACAACTTGCCTCATTGGTCAAGAGATGATTTACAGCAGCAATCGCCTCATCGCTGACCGCCGCACGACTGGTTTTGAGGTATTCATTGATGATCTTGATGATCTCCACTTTGATTGCTATTGTTTCTACGTGTTTTGAGACATCGAGGAGTCGGGCCTCAGCCTGATAACCAGAAGAAGAAAGAATCGCCGTGTATGCCAGGAAGGGAGAGTTCGCCATCCAAGGGCGGTAGCCATCTCTGATAAGCTTTGGCTGGTCAAGTCCATCGATAGCGCCGATGTATGGTGCGAGTACATTATGGACTGTGGGAATGTCAGTTTCAACCAGCCTGTGAAGATTGAGGTTCTTACAGAAATGGAATAGCTCAGCCCTACGCCCTTTATTTGGAATCGGAATTGGGGGTAGTGGTTGAATGACAATTGGTAGGGGAGCGTCAAACGCTTCTGGGCAGCCGTATGCAGAGGCAAGTCCCCTCCGAGGGAGGAGGAAGGGATTCAAGCAGAATCGTACGTAATTAGAGACTTCTAGCTCTTCTGTTGTAAAATTCTGAGCCCTTCCACGTCCTTGTAGTTGGCCGCCTGCTTCTGCATAACTCGCTTCCCCGGAAAAAAAAATTCCACTTTGTGTCAGAGGCCCGTGGAGGGGAGGAGGGTTCATCCATGTATCCGTATGGCGATTTCCAGGCCCACTCGGTGATGCTACATGCCCCAGAGTTGCTTGACGTACTTGGCTATGATCAAGTCTGTGGGATCTACCAGCGACTCTGGCAACAGCCCGCGTTTCGTCTTGGTGCGATCCTGCGGACTTAACATCTTCGTATCTGCAAATCGGAGGCGGATATCTGATTCAGAAACTTGCTTAGCAGATTTTAGGAAGGCAAACACAAAAGGCTAATTACCTCTTCGAACAGTGATTACAAGGCGTTTCCTTATTGCACTACACACCATCCAGTAAGAATGCGACAACATCTGTGATTGAAATTGAGGAAATACCCTTTGTTTTCTCTTTCGACACTCAGTGCAAGATATAGGAACTCGATTCCCTTTCCGCACGCTCTCCCCGGTGGTCTCTGCAGCTGTTGGGAGTACTTGCATGGTGTTGGAGTGGGAGTTGTGATTTGTGGTTTGTGTCATGTGACTTGCGGAGGTGGGGTCCAAAACCACTTCATCGGGTCGGGGAGGAAATTTAAATAAGTCTTCTCGGAGCAAGCGGACATTTCCCAGAAACTAGCTGAAATGCATGTTGTTGGAGATAAGCTCAAATGGGAGATGAAGCGACAGCCATTGACGACAGCAGAAGCAGTTTGAATACATCCCGTTTGCTTGGCATCGGCTGCCCCGCTATTTCAACAGCACTTCTTGCAGAGCGAAAAGCAAGACACCGACTGCAATTGAAACATTCAGAAGCGCGAAATAACAGGCCACTCACCATTCAATCACATTTCGATCATTTGAATGAATCATTGGTGCGCCGTTAGGGTTTCGAAGTACGCACGGCTTTGGGCGCGGAGTGCGCGAAGAGCTGCCTGAAGTGGGCGTTTTAGGCAACCACTAGCCTTCTCACACCCTCGATGGTGCTTGTTTCTCTCAGACAAAGCCACTGTGAATTGAACAGCCAGTGGGCTCGTTTTACAGAAGCTTAGCACGGCCCGGCAGCTGAATTACGACATCGGTACTTGACGCCACCATCTGACAGTGACTCCGGCTCGCCTGCAGCCCTATCCTGATATTGAAGCCCCTGATTCTTCAAGAGAAGGAATAACCGGCATGTGCAGTGTTATATTTAGGACGTTTTTGCTGTTGCAATATGAGTGGATGTCAAAGTTTAGTGGCTGTGCGTGCGTGCCGGCTTGGAGGACGAGACGGGCTCGTAGGGGTGATAATGTCTTGAGACGGAGAATGACTCTTCTGATCCGAAAGTCGGAATGAGGGAAAGGACAAGTTTTCGGTGTGTTATAGGGAGAGTGTAGAATGTCGGAGGAGGCGTGCTGGGTCTGAATGGCGAAGGCAGATCTCAATCTTGTTGCAACGGCAGAGTCTGAAACGCTTGCGGATTTAAACCACCATTCGAAGATAACCCTGACTTCAAGGAAAAACAAATGTTCTCAGCATGAAAGGTTGGAATTTCCCCCTGTCATCCGTTGAATCGAACACGGAAACTGTCGTTGAAGAATGGTGAGTCAGCGCGTTACTGTAGTCACCGAAAAATGAGTTACGCAATGCAATGTATGAATCCTCCAACATTCTAATTGTGCGAACTCAAAGACAACATTACAACAACTGGAAGTTTGTGGATGCGCGGTATCATCCTCTGAGTCAGTGGGAGCTACCCCCAACGAGCCACCAAAAGTAAAAGGGCGAAAGCGAAATTTGAGGCATTGGAACACTTGTCTCCATCAGCCGTTCAGCAAGCAATACCAAACTGGCCACACAGCCGCCGATGACATCAGATTCTACGATTCAAGATATTCATGCTGTCTAGGTAGGTGTACATACATACACAGTCTTGTCTCTTACCAACCGAATGCGCCAAACTCCGCCCAAATCGTTTTACTTCCATCTACGCGCTCACCAACTGGCCAGCGGCTCTAATACGAGGAGCATTTCCTTTCGCCACGATACCACTTAACTCGCCATAATCCGGCGGTTCGCACCTCGTCAGCGCTCCTGTCGCCCAATCCACAATCCACTGCTTCCCCTTCATAATCACCAGATTGCTCTTCCTTGGACTCCGATGAGTCAAGATGGCCATGCACCGCTTCGCGTACATCATATCGTAGAAATGGCTCCAGTGGTGCGTGGGCTTCCATTTCCCGTCTGCAGAGACAGAGGGATTGGGTGCAGAGGAGTGAGGCGCGAACTGCGAGAGGTGGGCTGTGGATTGGATAGCTTGACGAGCGCGAGTGATCAGACCTCGGGAGGCAGAGGAGTGGCCGGCATCGATTGCTGTTGCAGTGCGGGAGGGGTCGGAAGGGGGGAAGGCCACACCTAACGATGACTGGGTAGGCGATTCCGGATCTTCCGGGATCGTGTCGGTTGGTGCGAGGGATTGCAAGTCGGACGCATCTTCTTCTCCTTCTTCCGTGCCATCCGCTAGGGCAGGGAATTGGGACTGTAGGATCTCTCCTTGTTGTCTGACGAGGTCTGCATTGCGGTCACCGCCTTCCCCTTCAGTTGCGGCTTCAACACGTATCCGCCGCCTGATCCGTCGCGGCACGCTCAGGTCCCGCGGGATTTCTCGGTCATCGAGGGGAGGTGCCAGGTCGATGGCTGCGAAGAGAGATTGCAGCCAGAGGACGAACGTCTCGATTTTGTGGCAGGAGAGCAGGAATTGGTCTGCCTCCGCACGAACACGGATAACAAAGCGCTTCCTATCAACCAATTAGTATCCCCACATGTGCTGATAAGAGAGGTCTCCGTACTTGACATAATCTGCCGCGATTCCGACATCCGCATGCTGCAGGTTGTAGCTCTGCAGAAACGGGCCCTTCGTCGTGCCCGCCGGGAAATCCGGAGTCGTCCTCCCTTTCGTCCCCAGGATCCCAGGAATCTTGCATTTGTGGAACGTCAATGCTGTGCCCTGTAAGGTGACATAGACTCTGACCCAATTCCTGTTCTGCGCGCGGTGGACGGCTCCCTCGAGCTCCATCTTCCGTTGAAAGACGGCCCGCAGGCTGATGGCGCTGGAGTATGGTGGAAGAACCTCGCGGCCTTCGTCTTCGCGGGGCTGGATATTGAATCTTCGGCGCAGACTGGGGGAGTCGAGGAGGGCGTCGTAATCGGGAGGTGCGTCGGAGGGGATGATTGAGGATCCCATTGCCTCGCGCTGATAGTACTCGTCCATCGAGTGCCGGTATGCATTCGGAGGATTGGCGACAGCGAGGTGTCTGCTTGGGCCGGACATAGGCGCATCGCCGTCCAACACGGCATTGGCAGCTACATGACTGCCACCGTCGTCGTCCAAACCCATTGCCAGCGTGGCCGTTCTTGACTATTGTCGAGGGTCGGATGATAAGGAGTGTCGGTCAGGCATGATTTTCGCACAACGTCTCGTAACGTAGCACCGTCTTGCGGTGAGCCGTTCGTTGCTGTTGTTGTTTCCTTTTTTTCTTTTTTTTTCGTGGAGAGGAGGGAAGGGGGGAGGAATTCCGGGGGGCTGTACGCGGTAGATAGGGGGAGGGCGGGATAGCAGATAGATATAAGTGGGATGTTGCGGAGGGAGGAGCATGAATGGCGTCCGTTCGTTTTTCATGTTCCTGCGCTGCGCTGCGGGAGAGCCATCCGGTATTGGCATTGTCCCGAGGTTCAGCAGGATTTTGCCCAGAATCGGTGATGCGAGGAAAGAACCGACGATCCGCACCTGCCATCTCGTTCGAATTGCACATGAGCTGGTGCGAGCGCTCCATGAGGAGTGACACGACGTGCAGGAGGAGGCATCGCCGTCACTGGCAGTGAGTGGACGGAAAATGTATCTCGGGGGTGTGGGGTGGGTTGGGGCGGAGTGGGGTGGGGATGGTGATTGTAGCGATTGGGGCGCTGCGCTCGGAAAAAGCAAGGAATAGGGGATCAGCCTGAAACTGCGTCATTTAGCGCCAGGGGTGGGGGAACACGTGAGCGGATTGCTCGGGACCTGAATGAAGACATATAAGCGAACCCCTATCCAGGGGAGAAAACAAGAGGTGAAGAGTGCGGTGAAGCTTCACTTTGACGCTGATGAGGTGGGTTTTGTATTGCAATAGGCGATTTCTGGCCAATGGCTGTCTAGTGTAGTGGGTAAGTCATTTCAAAACCCTTGATTTGGAAGCACACTAACAAACTGCATTAGTTATCACATCGGATTTTGACAGCATGGCAGTGTGGAAAATTTCCGGGGACGCAGGTTCGATTCCTGCGACGGCCTAAGTTGCCCCAAAGAGATGGAACACTTTTTGCCATTGCCGCCCGCTGTTGAAGGTAGGGCTGGCAAGGCCATCTTTTTGGCAAGCTTGGTAAGCGAAGCGGCTCGCTTAGGGAAGCAGGTATTTGGAAGCATTCAGTCCTAGATAAAGACACCATGACGAGATCTACTCTAAATGTGTTTCTCTTTTGATCGAATCGTTTAATCTCTTAACGATAATCAGTTCTCAACCGCTCATCGTCAAATTCAACCTCAAACTCGGCACCTTCGCCCCTACAACATTCCCACCCTTTGTCTCCCTTGAAAAGACAAACCTATCCACCGGCTCACCCCCATAAAAAAGCGCACCACCTGTAATCCATGCCGTACACATTTGTTCTCTCTCACTCGACCCCTTCAACCCACTATTCCGCCGCGTTACCTCAATATCAAACTGCAGCCTCCAATCCTCTTCCCTGATCCCCTCAACCTCCCGCCATGCATCCGTAGGATAAATCCTCAATTGAGAGTTAGACAGATTGCCAATCCTCACACCACCGATGCCGATCTCGTTAAACAGCGTTCTGATATTTTCCAGCATATCGGTGCCGTTCCTGCTCAGCTTCTTCAACACAAGGCCTGGTCCGTCTTCGATACCGATTTCCATCTCTCCGCGAACTGCGTCCAAGTTTTGGTACTTCCCAACATATGCACCAGCTTCAGCTCTAGCAACCTCCTCCGCAGCTTCCATTACCTCTCCCACGACGTATTCGAAGAGCGGCTCTTGTGCCTCCAGTCCCTGTGCGCCTGCTGTCAAGACAACAATTCCGAGTCCATACTGCTCAATGACAGCAACGGTACTCTGATACCCAACAGCCGTCCCGCCTTTCGTGAAGAGATCAATGGTATGCGGATATTTCCGTGTTAGATTCTGCGTCCTGAGAATCTCCCACGGACGGCCAACCAGGGTATTCAGTTTCGAAGTCGTTGCTTGCGGCTTCAGCCACGAGAGAGCCTGTGCTCGCGATAGAATCGGAGATCCAGAGAGAGATATGATCGAGGCGAGTAAGCTGCCGAGATCGTTTGTGCTGGAGTAGAGACCGCCGCCTGGTGCATTATCCCCATAATCACTCCCCCAAGAACTATCTGTTGACGGAATCACGGCTTTCTCGTCGTTGCCGGGCGAAATGCCTGTATTTATCATATTCAATGGGCTTAAAATCTCGTCGTGTAGAAGTTGAGAATAATTCTTTCCGGTTGCGGATTCGAGGGCGTAGGAGATAAGCGTGAATGCTAAAGATGAATAAGAGGGTCGTAGATTAGGGGCTGCGATTGGATGGGAAGTTTTGAGGTTTGTGAGGAGCTCTGGGTGCCGTCAGAAGAGAGGGGAAAGAGGGTTGGCAAGAAAGGAGTGACCCACGTTGTTTTGTACAACCAGCATTCAGGCCAATGACGCCGCAGTTTGGGAAGTCGGCAACTGGGAGATGAGGAAAGCCGAGAGCTTCGAAGATGGGAAAGAGGAAGGAGATCTCTGGGAATCCGTCTGTGGGCGCACTTGTGTTACCATGGATCCTTTCGGGGGGGTTTCTGGAAATTGGGATGGGAACTGGAGAACTTACAAGTCACCGGCATCCCGCTCAGATGATCTCCCAACGCTCCCAACGTAACATCCTCCCACTGAATCACACTCTCACCCTCCAACTCAGGTAAATACTTCGTCACCGGATCATCCATATTCAACCCACTCTTCAACAACAACAAATCCGTAAACACCTTTGATACGGAACCGATAAGATACTGACTATCTCCGTCAACGTGTTTGGTGCCATTTACGTTGTTTGTGGCCAGATTATGGTATTCCCAGAGTGGCAAATGTGGGGAAGGATCAGAGAGCGAGACGACAGCGATGGAGAAGGAGACGTTGGGGAGGGCCCAGGGGATTGTGAGATTTCCGGAGATGGCAGAGTTGAGGGTTGAGGTTAGTGATGAGGAGGTCTTGGCGAAGAGGGGCGAGCTGTGGAGGGTTGTGGGACGAGGGAGGAGAGGGCCGTCTGGTGGGCAGAGGGTGCTGTGAGATGGGGTTGGGAGGGTGAGGACCAAGAAGGAAACGAAAACATGTTTAAAAGTCTTAAGGAAAGCCATTTTAAAGGGCAGCGAGTAGAGTAAGGTTCTTGAAAGCCCTCCGTTTGAGTTGCCGTTTTTCAGGTACTTATACCTTGATTTGAAAATGGATCCCTATACCCACTTGCCACGCACGGCCGCACGAACATCGTATCGAATACGGAGAAACTTCTCTCAAGAGAGCTGCTTTTGATTCAGGGAGAGTTCGCAACCATAATCAACGAAAAAATTGAGATCTGGTGATGTAAACAACGGAGGAACCTATCTTGGCGGTACTTCGCCAGCATCGGGTCAGAAAGTAGGCGGCTGTGCAACCACAAAACAACCACCAGTGAAAGCCGTTGCTAAACGAAGCAACTTCTCGAATGGCTTTGGGTGGTTCAGTGTTGCCTCGAAATTAGTTTATTGCCTGGGTAAGTGATCGTTGCCTCTTTCTGCAAGAACGCCAAGAACTACGTGGTGCGCTCGAGGTGCGGTGACAAGGATCTTCGTATCAGTACGGTGAGACCGTAAGCCGTGCCACAAAGCCAGTCTTAATTGGTAGACCCAAGAGAAAGCTATCTTTGAAGATTCTGGATTGTCACGGATCCGTTCATCACAAGGATCTTCACTTTGGGGAAGGTTGTATATGTCTCGCTCTCGTCCCTGGTCACATGATCGCGAAATCATGGATTCCGAGATCATTCCTACCGCGCTATTTATATTAGCAGGGAGATACCGTGGGAGAATAATCCATTTTTAGTAATCTTCGAGTCTATCACAACAAACTACACTGATTCAATCTGTCAATCGATGGAGTTTCTAAGCAAATCTTCCGCCTCGCTGGACCGAAGGTTGAAGAGACAATCAAAATGAGCAGGATGACTATCAAACGAATCAGCAAAGCCGATCAAATATAGAGACACTCACCTAGAAAGACCAGAACTGAACTTCACATCGGGCTTGATCTCATTTCCATCAGATCCGATAGAATTGGAGATATCCATGGTCGCGATCAAAGTTGCCAACGCAATCCAGACACTTGCTTGTGCGAGATGTTTGCCAACACAAATCCTGCGTCCAAACCCAAAGGGACCTTGCAAAATAGGTTCTCCTGCACCTCCTTCCTCTATAGGTACATACCGGTCAGGATTGAAGAGCTCGGGATCCTCATAGGTACTCTCATCGCGACTCATGGCCCAGACATTGAAGTAGACAGTCGAGCCCTTGGGAATGAACATGCCATTATAGATATCATCTTCCAGAGATTTATGTGGCACACCGAGTGGCGACAGAGGTCTCCAGCGGCTGGTCTCCTCCACGATGTAATTGATGTATCTTAAGCCGGGATTTTCACGATCTGAGAAGGCTGGAAGGCAGTCCCTGCCGATGGCTCGATCAAGAGCCTCTCGGGCTTTCTTGAACACTGTGGGGTATAAGAGTAATGCAAGAATCCCAACCAGGATTGTAGTATTTGTAGTGTCGAAGCCAGCGATGAAGATCGTTGCAGCCGCACCATTGATGTCTGCCATGGTCAAGTCGCTAGAAATTCCACGACACTGGTTCTCGGAATATTGTTGCAAAAGAGGATATGCAAAAGAATCGCGCTGCAAGGTTCCATTTTTCTAGACAGAAAATTAGCCCAGCCCTTGTATAATATATTGTGAACAACTACAAAGTGTCTTTTCGATGCCGAGAACGGGGTATCGTGAAGGTGCCGAATAATCCAACCCCACTTTCTAGCATGGCGCAAAGCTTCAGACCGTGCAATCCAGCTCGGCAGCTTGCTAAGAAACGGGAAGTTATCAATGACTGTCGATCCCGGGGAACCTCCTTCTGCGAGAACTCTGTTTGCAAGACCGGTCGCAACTTGAACGCTCGAATCTTCGTCTCGAGTCAATTCCACCCCAAAGGCGATCTGCAGAACAATATTTGAGGCAAAGCTGCATGTTTGTGTCAGCTAGTTTACAAAATGGATAGAGTTTTATACGGGCCTTCTGATGTGAGACTCCCAGCCGGAAGGATTTTTGGTGATGCTCAAGATGGCTCGACGCGCTTCCTGCTCTTGCCGTTCTTGGTATTGCAGGACATTGGATTTGGTGAGGTTTTTCTGAAGCAAGGCTCTGTGAGCTTTGAAGAGAGGACCCCAGGGCATAAAAGTGAGCGTTAATCCCCAGCGCATCCTAGGTCGCCGTCAGAATCACGTAAACGGCGAGGAACTTCTACTAACACTTCGAAAAGCACAAATCTTGGTCGACTGCTGTAGTTTGCTCCGCGTTTGGAAAGAAGTTCATCTGCAGCTTTCCCAGAATTCAGCACAATGACTGGAGTTCTGTACTGCTGGAAGTAAAGGACATCGGACTCTGCATCATGTAAGATTCCTGCCAGAACTTGTCGTAACAGTCCATGAGATACTCACTGTATTCTTTTGACAGCTTTTGGTAATAGATCTCCGGGTTCTGAGATGGGATCACTCTCGTGTGACCAAAAAAAAGCTGGCCAGGAGGGCTCGGTGGCAGGCAAAGATGCGAATTGTGCAATTTGCGGTACCATTGTAGAGTTACAAAGAGGCATGGACCGAAGATAGCGACAATTGAGACCAGGGAGCTTCCAAATAGAAGACCAAGCATGCTGAACGCCATGAGTTCTTGAGGAACTGGCCAGCCGTGGTGGTTGGTTAAGTTAGTTGATGCGGGGTAACTGCCCAGGCAGGTGCAGGGCTGCCTTGGGTGCTCAAAGAACAACTGTGGATGGCTTTGGTGCGAGCTTCGACAGTAGGAGTCGCACCTTAAATTTTTTAGTATGACGCTACTCGGATCATTCACTTTAGGTTGTACTTGCCACCATTGCAGGACGAGGAAAGGAGCTTCCTTGGAAGTGCTTCCTTGGAAGAAGAGACAAGGTGGGTGCATCTCGCCAACTAC